AAAAAAAAAAAAAAAAATCTCATCCAAGCATAGAGGTTCACACCTGTAATCATAGCACTTTGGGAGGCTGAGGTGGGAGGCTCACTTGACAGGAGTTCAAGACCAGTCTGGGCAACATAGTAAGAACCCTGTCTCTACAAAAATTTAAAAAACTCACTGGGCTTGGTAGTACGTGCCTGTAGTTCCGGCTATTTGGGAGGCTTAGGTGGGAAGAACCCTTGGGCCCAGGAATTTAAGACTGTAGTGGGCTACGACTGCATCACTGCACTCCAGCCTGGGTGACAGAGCAAGACCATCTCTAAAAAATAAAAACATCTCTCTCCATCATCATCTCCACATCTTCCTGACCTCTACTGGCACCCTCCTCCAAAAAGTCCAATCAGTTTAGGGTCTGAGTATCATCTCAGAGCCTGAGATGGGGAGTAATAACACCAACAGGAGATGGCTAGACAGGCTCAGAGCCTATAAAGGATTATGCCATCTGAGGAAGGGACTCTGGTGTGTTCTAGTTGACTGAAAACAGAAAAATGACAAGTACTAAAATATTTTAAGAATGTTATGAGCATCTATAATGAGTGGGGGTGAGATGTAAAGTACAAAGAGAGTAAGAGCTGGGCTCCGTGAAGACAGTATTCAGAAAACACTAGGCATAGTGTTTAAGAGCCCAGCCCTAGGCTGTGAGCTGGAAGGCTCCCCTACATTTCCCTCTGCCATCACCCCAACCAATTAGACTATTTCATGGGAGAAACAGTATCCCTCCTTTCTCCCTCCTTTCCTCTAAACACTCACCCACTGTTACAAATGAACTAACAGTTAGGGGGGAAATGAGTGTAAACCAAATGCACCAAAAAAGAAATTCCTCAGTGCCATTAGCCACTGCAAAATAACTTCAGGTTCCCTATCACTTCCCATGCCCAAACCAGAAACACTCATTAATACAACCTAACAAGTAGATTCATATGAGAAGAACTCCAAAAGGTAAATTCAAAAATCAAAACAAAAAATTAGAGCCATTTAAACATTTTAAAAAATAGAGAGAGAGAAAGAAGACAGAATCAGGAGTTCTGTGAGGCAGAGGAGAGGGGAGCAGCAATATCAACCATGGTTTCTATGCATGAAAGGCCCTTTCTAAACCTCCTACCATAGCAAAGCTCCCCTGGTCTATCAAATGAACAGAATTCTAGATTTGTTTTCTCTTTCTCTCAAAGACCAGTGACAAGAAAGCAGCTATGGTATATTTTCCTTGACTGAGGGCTGGAGACTCAAAACCAAAAGCTATCTGCCCAGCCAAAGCCCTCTATAAGGCTGCTGGGCTTGGGGCTATTTTACACTGGGTAAGCCCTTCCTGAGGTTGGAAGCATCAATGAGAAGACTGCGGCAGTTTGTCCTTTACACTCTATATCCTACCCATTGCCCCGCACTCCCCCACCCCTAGGATGTATATAGAAAGTCGACACTAGGGGGCACTGGGACTCTCAATTCTGGGGTGTCTGGGAAGGGAGGGAAAGCTGGGCCAAGTTCTACTTGCAACAACTGATACTACAGTTTCTTTTACCCAGCTGTCAGCCCCTTCCCCTCCCTATGGCCAGCCTAGTGAACACCTGTCTCTCTATCCTCCATCATTTGCCTTTGACGGTCTGGTGGAGAGGCACCTGGCCTTGAAGTGCAGGGCAGTGAAATTCTCCTTTCAGTGCATAAGGGAGTGACTGGGAGAAGACAGGAGCAGGATCTGATTTCCTAGAAGATGGGTGAAGGCTTTCTTCAATCTGTCTCCATGTGTATAGAGTCACAACTTGCCGAAGGGGACAGTTAAAGACCAAGACATAGGCTTTTTTAAAGGACTCCTGGCCTCACGAAGAGTTGGAATTTATTGTTCTTTTCTACCCTAGCTCTCTGTTGTCCTTCCACAGAAGGAACATTATTTCTCATGTCCCGATTCCCTGGGCAAAGGGTCCAAGCACACCAGGGCAGGGCAAGTTGCTCTGGACAGTTTAGAGAGTTTTGTCCTTTCCCACCATTGCACAGCACACACCAGAACAGTGCCCACCTGAATCCCTCTGAGTACACGTTTGCATTCAGCATGGAGCCACCACTCTTTCAAGAATCACTCTTGCTACATGCAGAGTTATCAAAAGTCAAAGTCTGGGGAGAATTCAAGGATCCCAGTCCAGTCCTTCTCAAACAGTTGCATGAGTGTCAAAAGGCACTGTTTGTCCAGGGTTGGGGTGAGAATTTACCCTAACCCAGGAGGCAGGGACAACACTGATATATCAGTGTTTCCCAATCTTGGTAATATTGACCTCTGGAGTCAGATAATTCTTAGTTGGGGGTAGTGGGGACTATACTATGCAGTGTAGGATGTTTAGCAGTGTAGGATGTTTAGCAGCAACCCTGGTTTCCAGCCACTAGATGCCAGTAGCACACACATCCCACCTCCAGGCATGGCAATCGAAATTGTCTCTAGATGTTGCCAAAGGCCTGGGAAGGACAAAATCACCTCTGGTTGAGAACCTCTGGTCTGTGGGTGAAGCAGCAGATCTCCCACAGTGTGGAAGGAGCCTATGTGGATTCAACTAGGTCACAGCTGCAAAGGCTCTGAGCATAGCAACGTGCAACAGGAAAGAGAGGGGCCATGAAGCCCAGGACAGAAAATGTCCTCCAGGAAGCAGGAAAGCAGGTACTCCCAAAAAGCTGTAGCTGGAAAAGATACTTCCTCAGATGCTGTTGGCCTTGGCAGTGAGAAGAGTTGGTAAAAGTCAGTAAGTCCATTCTTCCGGAACTTGCCAGGGAAGACCTAGTCTTCAAATTTGGCTCAAGGGTGTGTTCCCAGGGCTGTGGAATTGTCTCCTTAGTAAGCCTAGGTCACATCTGTGCTTTCTGAAGCCAAAGTCTAGTTTTTTCTCCCAGGGTGTGGCAGGGTGAGGGAAAGAACAGCCACTTCCATGGCCTACTTAGTGTTCTACCTTGTTCCTTGCCTAGCCTGCCCCCCAACCCCAAATTCCACATGAATTGTCATTTTTAAAAATCCATAAAATTAAAAGCTGTAAGAGGGCAAAATAGGCAGGCTCAGCTGTTTATAAAAGAGAAAAAGAAGAATCTGGACTAGAGAAAGAAGGCATAATATGGGTGAAGAGGAGATGGGGTGTGTGAGCTGAGAGCTTTACCAAACAAATTTTTTAAAGGCTGCATACTTTTTAAAACACATAGACACACATCAAAAAAGTCCAGAACTAAGCTCAGTAAGCAGAGCTCCTTCATCAATGTTCTAGCACCACATCTTTCTGTTCTGTTTTGGTTTGTAAAGAAATAATTACAAATTATTTTAAAAGCATTCCCAAATAATTCCAATATATCAAAAACTTTTTCATATCAATGAGAAGCTACAACCACCATGCCTCTTTAGGGTAGGGAAAAGTACGTTGCAGTTAAAAACAAAAAGCTTTCTTTGCAAAAGAAAAAAAGTTTTTTTGATCTCCTTGAATGTAGCACACAAGAAAAGTGATGGTTCCCCCAGGCTCCATCAGCAATGGAGAAATAGCAAAGGGCAGGAACATAGAGCTTTCTTTTTCCAGGCCCAGGCCTGTGAAAAACGATGGCTAAGTGTTAGTCCTTAGCAGGGCCGACGGATGGTCTCCATTCCTGGTTAACCCTCTGGAATCTGGGAGCAAGAGTATCTCCAAGAATTCATTTCTATTCAGTAAAGATGGGGAGGGGAATCTCCTAAAGAAGGCACAAGCCAGAGAGGAGACAAGCAAGACAAACATGAGAACCTGTCTGACTTCAGGCTGGGCTGAGCTGCTATCTGCCAGCACAGCCCTCCCTGCCCCCCAGCATGTGGTTCTTACCCACTGTTACTTGTTGAACTGGAAAGAATAGACCCCATGCTCTGAGGGTGCGTCCACTGCCACTTGGTTCTGTTGGCCGCTGCTCTCCTGTGCCATAGCCAAGGAGGGGAGTCATCTTACGCATTCCTTTCCTCACCTCCCACTACACCAAAGCCCACCCTACATCGAGCGCCCTCCCAAACCTACCCACTCTCCACACTCATGTGTGAGTGTTTCCACCCACACCACCACTTCCCCAACCTTCCTAGCAGCCTGTCCTCTTCCCAAGACACATTAGTCAATACAAGCCAGCATCCTGGTGTTAACTACTGGCTGGCCAAATGTAAGGAAGGGCCTCATTCATGAACTCAGACCAAGTCCTTCTTTCCTACATCTGTTGTTGTTGTTTTTTAAATGTGGAACGCTTCACAAATTTGCGTGTCATCCTTGCACAGGGGCCATAATCTTCTCTGTATCGTTCCAATTTTAGTATGCATGCTGCCTAAGCGAGCACATCCTACGTTCTTCACATACCTACCAGCTATTTGTGAACACAGAATCAGCATCATTGTGAGAGGAAGATCTTGATCAGGGGGAAACCTGCCTTCATTCATTTTCCTAACCTCAATCCAAAGAAATGATAACACCCTTACCTCGACTGAAACACTGGAAGAAGGCACAGGGGTATACTGGGAGATGTAAGCTCCTTGCATAGCTGCAGCCGTCTGCATATACTAGAAAGAGAAACAACGGGCTTACAGCAGTGATTCTTGGCTACATTTGAAGCAGCTGGGGGGCTTTAAAAATACTGATGCCTGTGTTCTACCCCAGAGATTCTAATTTAGTTGATCTGAGTATTAGCTTCTTAAATGCAATTCAGGTGGTTCTAAAGTACACTGTTAGGGAGACATCTCCCTATACGGCTTATTTTCCTCCTCTTTCCCGACTTCCTTCTGCTTTTCCTCAACACGCTTCCTTCTCTACCCTCGAGCCCTTTCTATGCAAAAAGGAATACAGTAGGCCTAAAAGAAACCTAATTAAGAAACCTCCATCCTTCCAGGTACTATTTTGATGAGGATTCCTAGGACACATGTGTATCTTAAACTAATATGCAGACAGAAGCACTGTTTATGAGGTGCATGAGTAGGAATCAGTTAAAAGGGGTGGGCTGGGGAGCAGAATGGCTGTATTCCTGGCTCATGGAGCACTACCATTGTAGTTTATGTCCTGTTCTGAGTGTGCCCTGGATGACACTGAAGTAATTCCATCATTATTCATAAGTTACTTATGCTGAAGAGTATTACATAGGTATGCCGTGCTCATTCAGAGAGTTTACAATCAGAAATATCCTGCTTTACCGTGCCTGTGCTGCTGAGGGAGAGGTGGCCCAGTTGCTGGGTAAGGGGTCCCATCATGGAGGCAGGCTGGAGAGAAATGGGATGGTCCATCCCTGGTGTCAGAACTGAACCCTAGAGACAGCAACAAAGGACAGGGTTAGCTGCAGCATCCTGTGAGGCTGCCTAAAGCAGTGATTGGTGGCTGTCAGGACCACCGGAGACAGACATTTAAGAATCCTGAGAAATGGTAAGTGAGCAGCAACCCAGCTATGCAAAAGAATAGGAACTCTGCCTGTCGGTGTGGAAGGACCCTCGTCTAAGAATAACAAGCTTAGGTCTTACTGCTGGGTTGCACAAGGGTCTGAGCCAGAACTCACACCCACATCTCCTGGCATCAAAAGCCATTTTTTTTTTCTTTATCTTTTTCTTTTTTGAGACGGAGTTTCACTCTTGTTGCCCAGACTGGAGTGCAACGGCACAATCTCAGCTCGCTGCAACCTCCGCCTCCCGCGTTTAAGTGATTCTCCTGTCTCAGCCTCCTGATTAGCTGGGATTACAGGTGCCTGCCACTACGCCTGGCTAATTTTTGGTATTTTTAGTAGAGATGGGGTTTCGTCATGTTGGCCAGGCTGGTCTCGAACTGCTGACCTCAGGTGATTCGCCTGCCTTGGCCTCCCAATGTGCTGGGATTACAGGCGTGAGCCACCGCACCCGGTCAGTTTTTTCTTTACATCAAATTGCCTCTTTGGCTTCTGCCCACTTCTGAACACTCACTGAAGGCTGCATGAGGTATGAATGGTGGTGCATCCAAGATGGGTTAGGTACTTGTAGAGGAGATGTCTGAGTCACTCTCTAAAACAAGCAAAAACAAAAAATGTTAATTGCCTGGAAACTATTGTTCAGACCCAAAGATCTAATAATATTCAACAAAGCCCAGAAAAGTTGGCATGCCCCACTCAAAATAGAAACATTAAGAAAACTGTTTTTAAAATATTAGCAACTCTTAAAACTCAATAAATAATCCAGTTTAAAAAAGAGCAAAGAGGAGTTCAAAATTACAGTGAGCTATGATTCTGACACTACACTCCAGCCTGGGCAACAGAGTGAGACCCTGTTACTAAAAAAATTAGAAAAAAAAAAAAGGTTTGGAAAGATATCTCTCTAAGAAGATATACAAATAGCCAATGAGTACATGAAAGAGGCTCAAATGCAAATCACAACCACAATGGGATACCACTTCATACCTATTAGGATGGCTACAATTATTATTTCTATTTTTTGAGATAGGGTCTTGCTCTGTTGCCCAGGCTGGAGTGCAGCAGCGGGACTACAGATGTGCATCACCACACCTGGCTACTTTTGAGACAGGGTCTTGCTCTGTCACCCAGGCTGGAGTGCAGTGGCGGGATCTTGGCTCACTGCAAGCTCCGCCTCCTGGGTTCACACCATTCTCCCGCCTCAGCCTCCTGAGTAGCTGGGGCTACAGGTGCCCGCCACCATGCCTGGCTAATTTTGTTTTTGTATTTTCAGTAGAGACAGGGTTTCACCATGTTAACCAGGATGGTCTCGATCTCCTGACCTCGTGAGACGCTCGCCTCGGCCTCCCAAAGCGCTGGGATTACAGGGGTGAGCCACTGCACCCAGCCCACACCTGGTTATTTTTTGTATTTTTTGTAGAGACGGGGTTTCACCATGTTGCCCAGGCTGGTCTTGAACCCCTCAGCTCAGGTGACCTGCCCACCTCGGCCTCCCACAGTGCTGGGATTACAGGTGTGAGCCACAGTGCCAGGCCAGCATGGCTACAATGATAAGGACAGAATAACAAGTGTTTTACACTGCCGCTGGTGGGAATGTAAAATGGTGCAGCTACTCTGGAAAATGCTTTGGCAGTTCCTCAAAAAGTTAAATACAGAGTTACTATATAGCCCATCAGTTCCACTCCTAGGTATATACCCAAGTGAAATGAAAACATATGTCCACACAAAAACTTGTATATCAATGTTTATAGCAGTATTATTCATAGTAGCCAAAAGGAAACAACTCAAATGATGACCAGTTGATAACTGGATGGACAAAATGTGGTATAGCCATATAATGGAATATTATTCAGCCATAAAAAGAATGAAGTACTGATAAATGCTACAACATGGATACATCTTGAAAACATACTAAGTGAAAGAAGCCAGACACAAAAAAAAATTGTGTGATTTTACTTATGTGTAATCTCACAATCATACAATTTTCTGAGCTTTGACTACTATATCCAGAATAGGCAAATCTATAGACACAGAAGGTATATTATGGGTTGCAAGGACATTTCAATTCAAACTGGATTTGAAATAATCCAGTAAATTAGATTATTTAATAATTTGGTGCTAGGCCAACTGGTTAACACTCTGAAAGAAAACAGACTCCTATCTTATGCCATACACAAAGATAAATTCCTGATTACACATTTAAACGTAAATGTAAAACATAAAATCTTTGAGACCAGATACACAGTATAGAGACAGAGAATACTTTTTAAAATTAAGACAAGAAATTTGCCGGGCGCAGTGGCTCACCCCTGTAATCCCAGCACTTTGGGAGGCCGAGGTGGGTGAATCACCTGAAGTCGGGAGTTTGAGACCAGCCTGATCAACATGGAGAAACCCCGTCTCTACTAAAAATACAAAATTAGCCGGGCATGGTGGCATATGCCTGTAATCCCAGCTACTTGGGAGGCTGAGGCAGGAGAATCGCTTGAACCCGGGAGGCGGAGGTTGCAGTAAGCTGAGATTGGGCCATTGTACTCCAGCCTGGGCAACAAGAGTGAAACTCCGTCTCAAAAAAAAAAAAAAAAAAAAGACAAGAAATTCAAAAGTTATTTATTTATTTTTTTGAGACGGAGTCTGGCTCTGTCTCCCAGGCTGGAGTGCATGTGGCACGTTAGCCAGGATGGTCTCCCAGGTTCACGCCATTCTCCTGCCTCAGCCTCTCCAGCAGTTGGGACTACAGGCGCCCGCCACCATGCCCGGCTAATTTTTTGTATTTTTAGCAGAGACAGGGTTTCACCGTGTTAGCCAGGATGGTCTTGATCTCCTGACCTTGTGATCCACCCGCCTCGGCCTCCCAAAGTGCTGGGATCACAGGCGTGAGCCACCGTGCCCGGTCTCAAAAATTATTTATAAAAGAAAAAGACAAATTTAACTATATACAAATTTTAAACTTTTTTTTTTTTTTTTGAGACATGATCTTACTCTGTTGCACAGGATGGAGTACACTGGCACGATCACAACTCACTGAAACCTCAATCTCCGGGCTCAAGCAATTCTCCCACCTCAGCCTTCTGAGTTGCTGGGATTATAGGCACGCACCACTATGCCTGGCTAATTTTCATATTTTTTGTAGAGATGGGGGTTTTGCCATGTTGCCCAGGCTGGTCTCGAACTCCTGAGCTCAAGTGATCCGCCTGCCTCTGCCTCCCAAACTGCTGGGATTTCAGGCATGAGCCACCATACCTGGCCGAATTTTAAACTTTTATATGGCAAAAACTAGTGATTCCCACAGTATGGTCCCTGGACCAGCAGCAGTAGCAGCAGCATCACCTGGGAACTTGTTGGACATGCAAATTCTTGCCTTTCACCCATCTTACTGAACCAGAAACTCTGGGTGTGATGCCCACCAACCCAGGTTTCAATGAGTTTTCCACGTGATCCTGATACATCACTAAAGTTTAAGGACCACAAAGTCAACAGCCAAAAAATAAAATTGGAAAAAAAATTTGTAACAAAGATAACATTTAGAAGATTAATACTTATATAGAGTTTTTATAAGCTGATGAGAAAAGAACAAATAACCAAATAGAAACATGGGCGAAGCATATGAATAGCAATCAGACAGAAGCAAATCCAACTATGACAAATGAAA